AGTCTGTATAATCAGAAAACGTCAAGAGCATTTGCCATGAACGTCGGGGCTTTTTGTGAACGGTTATTGACTAAAAATCCCCACTGAAAGGTTTTTAGACACATTATGAATAAAATAAAAATAAGTGGATAAAACGACACAAAAGGAGAATCACCAAAAATAGTTAAGTACCTTAACCGCTTGGTACACTTCATCACTGTAATATTAGACTATTTGTTTAGTGCTAGTAATTATCTGTATTTTTACAATTATTTTTATTCAAAACCTTTTCCGTATAGTTAGATCTAGGGTTATTATTTACTTTCAGTACATTTCAAATTTCTTTATTCCTTTGTTCAGTTCAACTTTATTACACTTCTTCAATATCCAGACAACACCTATAAAACTGGAAGAATATTGTGTAGACCAGATAATAGAAATATGAGGCGTAGAGTGGCGACCCAAACCCGAGCAAAAACTAATAATACTAACATGTTACAGACCCCCCCAATTCATCAGTTAACAACTTCAATATATTCATTAGAAGTTTACGTAATATCCTGAATCACATATACACACCAAAATTAAATCTTATTTTAACAGGAGACTTCAATCTAGATAAAATAAATCAGGAAAATAAATATAATACATTATATGATGAGCTAACAAGCTACAACTTATCCCAGACAGTCAAGGTGCCAACACGTGGAAATAATATTCTAGATTTAGTGTTTTCTAACATCACAAACACATTGTGCGATGTCGGTGATAATATTATTTCTGACAATAGGACGGTGATTACATTATCCTATGTATCTTGACGCATCCTATATGTATAACTTGTACATCAACGGGAATAAAGACTATTATTATTATTATTATTATAAATGAATGTTAAAATATAAAGAATGTTAAGTTCTTGATCAGCAATTTATAAAAACTGGCAGGCCAGGACTCCGACTTTAGGAATTACCGACTGTTCCTTAGAAAGAAGTTGATACAATCTCAAGTTATTGGCAGTATGATACCTTTTACCGATATCTGTTACTAACTGTAGCATTTCAAAGGATTGATAAGGGCCATACGAAAGTATTCACTTGACAAACAAAACCTACAATGGATAAGTGACAGGCGCCTACACCAAAATATCGACAATTCTTATGGACGTTGTTGAAAAACCATAAAATGTAGAAATTTTCTACAGATGACGTCTACTACTCTCTTTGTGGTAATTCGTCAAACTCTGCCTAAAGATAGCAGATAAAGTTGTATATATTTTGTTCGAACGGTCTACGACGTGCTGCCAAGATACAGTGAGATTCAAATCGCGATCCTCGTCTGACGGTTTTCAGAAAGTACTTGCTAAATGTCAATCAATAGGTCATTGCAAATTGACACTTATTAATACTTAATATATAGTATTTTGTAAAAGATTTAATGGTTTTTTCCATTCGCCCTAATTAATTAACTTTTTGAAGTGAAACTTTTTTACGCACGGTAGGGTAAGTTCGTTTCATGCGAGTTGCTATGTAACGAAATCATACAACGGATGTCCCCCCTCTACTCGGCTACGTAGTCGAGTTCGTAGTGGGAATGTCTACATCCGTTTTCGCGTTTCAATGCAACGTTCGTTACAGGCAACTCCGGAATGTATAGTGTAAAATTTAAATTCATAGTGTATTTTCTTGTCCTCTCTTAGTATATCTTCATGGTTTTTGGTAGGGTGTTCTGATAGTTATGAATGAAATTAAAAAAATGAAATTTCTGGGTGCTAACTACATTTCGTACCCTTTTATGTTAGAGAAGGAGTTATGATACCTTAGAGAGATATGAAAACATTAATTCTAGAGTTCTCAATAGTATTTACACAAAGCCCTGTAAAGTGAAATTGTGCAAAATTTGAATGTTTTAAAAAATTTGCTTATTTTTCATTTGAGAAGCTACACGTAGCCTCTAGAATTTCGACTCAACAAAATATTTAGCGGGTCATAGTCCTATAAAATCTGAACTCGTATGAATCACGGGTTGTTATTACAGTTCTACTAGAACTATTCCCCACTGACTGAACGACAAAGTTGGGGTAGTTTTTCTTACGCAGAACTCCGGGGTGGGGTATGATATTTGGCTAGATGCAAGCCTCAATCGTCAGGACACCGAAGTTCTAGAGTGAAAAAGAATCGGGGGTATGAAATATCAAGAGATGGGAACTTCTAGTCAGGACTGCTGAAGAAGGCTATTCGTATGAGACATTGATTTTTAGTATTAGTAACTCGCGCTAAGCTGTAACTGTAGTTACAGGATGGAAAAAGGTTTTGGGGGTATAAATACTCAGACTGGGGTAGTTCTAGC